TCCTTGCCAGCCCTGAACGCAGCTTCTCTTCCCCTTTGTTCACCCTTGTGAGTTCTACCACCCGGCATTCAGCATTATTTAGCCTGAAGGACCACTTGCTGAATCTGTGCCATTTTTCCAGAAGAAAAAAAAAAAAAGGGGGGGGGGGAGAACTACAGCCCAGATTGGATTCTGCAAGGAAAATGGCCTTCTGCCATTTTTGCAACCTACTTTGTGCAAAGCCAAGTAGCACAGATGTATTTCTATGCATGTTTTTGTTCTTACTTTTTAAGTAGATATACACGATTGTGCAAATTGCCCTTATGGCTGGCTATGGTCCTTTTGTTTCCTTGATGTGTTATTCTATGCCTGCATTCTGCCTTTGCACCCCTTGCGGGACAGTTCAGTGCCAGAGCAATCTTCAAAATGTCAGGAGCCACTGGGCATGATCTCTCATGGGCATCTCTTCAGATCCAGCACGCTATTTTCTTTGACTAAAGCTGTAGTGGAAATAAGTGGCAGAATTCCAATATTTGTACAAAGCATATACTTCAGACTCTGGATGACTGAACTGATTTGTGAAGTTCTTTGTGCGTAGACACATATGAATGCAGTGAGGAACATGCTTGTATGACTTTGAAAGAATACAAGGGGTTGGGCTAGAACTTTTTTACTTGATATGTCAGTTTTTACTTGGGTGAAAGGAAGTGTAGGTTTTGTGTGTTTTGTTTTTATGCAGAAACATTTAGAAATGACACATTAACTTGCAATCTGATGTGGTGCATTCCTTCCATTGTTTTCACATTTCTACCACTTCAATCAGCTGCTTCGAGTAATAATCCTCAAACTTGGCCCTTTTAAGATGTGTGGATTTCAGTTCCCAGAATTCCCCAGCCAGCATGGTGGTTGAGAACTACTGGCCTAGAAGAGGGGTAGGCAACCTCGGCTCTTTTATGACTCATGGACTTCAACTCCAGAATTCCTGACTCAGCTGACTCAGGAATTCTGGAAGTTGAAGTCCATGAGTCATAAAAAAGCCGAGGTTGCCGACCTCCGGCCTAGAAAAACAAGACTTTCCCCCGGGATTAGCATTTATGATGTAAGGAAAAAACCCTGTAAAAATGGGATTTCTGGGACAATTAAATCTTGATATTGCAGATGAACTGGATAGCTCTCCACAGTGGGGCAAGATCCCTAAAAGCCTTGGTTGAAATACTTAGAGCCCTTCTAAGATTACTAAATTAATACAGATAGTTCTTACAACTTATAACCATTTGTTTAGCGACTGTTTGAAGTTATGACCATGTAAAAAAGTGACTTTCCCAGCCGGTTTTGGACAAGCAAAGTCAGTGGGGAAGCCCTCAGCAAAAGACATAAGTTGCACGCAAGTGATGTCTGGCTTAATGACCATAGCAAAAAAAGTTAATATTGGATGTGGGCATATGATGTCTCACTTAACGACTGCACTGTTTAACAAATGTTCTGGTTCCTGTAGTGGTCATAAGTCAAGGACTACCTGTAGTTGTAAACACTTGAGTCTGAGTTCTTGGTTCATTGTATATTTCTTTTAATATAATTAATTAGGTTTTGAGATAAACCACTCCAAATCTGTTTAGGAGGATGAGAATGGAGATGAAACCAATCAACAAATAAAGACAAATGATAAGCCTAAACAGGAAAATTAAATACATAGGAATAATTCTATCATCTGCATGTAAATAAATCAATTCCATTTCAATCCAACTGGGCTTTGCCCAGGTCATTATATAGTCTCTGCCATCTTTGGGGAATCTGTCCCCACCTGTCACTCTACTCAAAAGACGAAACATGACTCATTTTCTCCCCACCCCCCAAATATTGCTCATCTTTGGTTTAGAAAGACTCGTCCTTTGACCTCGGTAGAGGTCAGAGATTTAGCAGAGTCTGTGCCATCTCATTGTCCCCCATACTCTTTCTTTGTGTTCTGCCTGCACTTGACTGTCTTGGCATGACCGATTAAATGTGTCTTTGAACTCTTTGATCCTCCTCCAATCCCTCCTCTTCCCAAATGTGAGATCTAAAAGGGTCTCCTGTGTTTCTCTTGCCTCCAGCCAAATCTCACAGGACACCCTCCACCATTTCCCTTTGAATCTTCAAAGCTCTTGCATGCTTTAACTGATTACACATTTAGCATCTCTAATCTCATTTTGGCCCCCACCCTGGAGGCAGCCTTGAGAGGAGTCCCTCTTCTTCCAAGCTTGTCTTGTCACGCTTGCTCTGATGTTTTTCCAGCTCCACATTTCAGGATTGGGAGGGGAAGGAAAGAAGGGGCAGCTTCCCAGAAGACCTCAAGGTCTCTTCTCCAGCTGCAGCTCTTCAAACTTCCTTCAATTTTCTGACCAAAGCGAATTCCCTAGATCAGTGGTTCTCAACCTGTGGGTCGGGACCCCATTTGGGGTCGAACAACCATTTCACGGGGGTCGCCGAACAACACAATCCGCCATTTTTTCCCCGTTTCCTTAGCTGTGCTACTCCCTTTTATTCTATTGGCTTTTGAAAGTCAATAGAATAGACTCTCTTAAATAGAGTCTAATTCTATTGGCTTTCAAAAGCCAATAGGAATTGTCCAGGCTGTCTCTGCCCTGCTGAGCCCGCCAAAAGTCCATTCTGCAAACGGTGCTGCACCAGTTGAGTAGTCCTCGACTTACGACCGGTTGAGTCGTAAGTCGAGGACTACTGTCCTAGATTATGGGTAAAAGAGAAGCACAACTATTTTTTCAAATTTTCTGCCCCAACTTTTCTGTCAATTCGTTTTGACAGAAGCTCTTTCTGTGAAGAAACAGAGGGAGTTTCCTCCACCAATAAGAAATCAAGGGCTGAATTCACTCATCATCGATCCTCTGAGAGGTTAGTTTTAAGATTGTTTGTCTATAGAGATTTTCAGTCATCCAGGTCACAATTATCCCAAAGATGCTTTTTCATGAGGCAACTGGACTTTCTTGTATTTTTTTTGAAGATGTTTTGCTTCTCACTCAAAAAGCTTCTTCAGCTCAGATTGGATGGTGGAGAATGGAAGGATTTATACTCCTTGCAGACAGCTGGCATTTGCATTCTTTTAGAGAGTCCTTGAAGCTACCTGGACTATCTATGTTGTCAGGGTCACCTGAGTAGTGCAAATGGATGTTGAGCCTTCTTGGAACTGCTGAAAGGACTGTGTTGTAGATTGGAGATAGTGTTGTATCTCCCCCCTCAGTTGAGAGAGGGCTGTTCAGTTTTGACATAAATGGCCTCTTCGACCCCTCTTTCAAACCAGTGGTCCTCTCTGTCCAAAATGTGGACTTTGCTATCTTCAAAAGAGTGGGCTTTGTCTTTTAAATGCAGATGGACTTCTGAATTTTGTCCTGATGTTGTCCTATGTTGTGCCATGCATTTATGAAGATTGTTTAAAAATTTGGGATCTCTTCCTCATCTAGAAATGAAGTTCCAGAAGTCATGATGATATAGGATGTCACAGCTGTCCTGCATAAATTATGCCTAATTGAATAATTGAATCATATATGTGTGTGTGTGTGTGTGTGTATATATATATATATATATATATATATATATATATATATATATATATATATATATATATATATATAAATGATAGTCCTAATTGGGACTGGCAACTCTGTCATTAACAGTCACTAAATGAAACTACGACTGCTTTTGTGGTCTTATTTAAGCTTTCCTTTGCTTTATAGACCTAAATACGAGGAACCATCTTAAACTTACTTTTTCATCACAATTGTTAACTATGAACAATCACTAAATGAGAACAGTAGCTAAACAAGGTCTACTTTCCCACTGTGTCAGTCTTATCAATGTCATTGTTATCCCTCTCTAAGGAAAAAAACATTCAGTGGGATTTCCTGATTATAATTGCAACGCTCACTGACAACCTGAGTCAATTAAGGGCATTGGCTGCATTCATACAATTTAACCTGAATTAATTTTCCTGGTTTGCACAATGCACTGAATCATTCATTAACCAAAGAAGTTAAATTCACCCAACATACCAACTCACAAAAATTGACAGAGGTTAAAAATAACCAAGCTTAGTAACTTGTATGTGAATTTGCTATATTTTAACTGACTGACTGAACCTTGTTGTATGGACACGCCACTAATCTCTGACCACATACAAATTCACTTGTCCAGAAGGCTTAGGTTTTTTAAATTTGCAAGCCCTTTATTTTCTTGATTATGTAATTTGTATCTGTACATATATTTGTGTCTGTGTATATGTGTCTCACCAGGAATTGGTTGCCTTCTAGATGTTGCTGAATTATAACTTCCAGCAGTCCCAGCAGCTATGGCCGATGGCTGGGAGTTACAGTTTCAGCAATACCAGGAGAGCCACAAGTTCTTCATCCATGAAGAACTGTAGATTGTTTTCCTGGCAGGCTACCATAAGTTCCTTAGATGACCTTGAGCTGGTTACTATAGCTCAGTTTAACCAAGCTCTTTGGGTTGTTGTGAGGACAACTTTGTTTGTATGTAATAGCTTCCCGGAGGATAGCTGTGTTGCTCTTCTGCGGCAAAATCAAAACAGACTCTAACGCCACTTCAAAGGCAGATATCTATAGTTTTTGTGCATCGCAGTTCAGTTTATCGGATGCATATGATAGAGAATTGCTGTGGTTGTCAAGAGAGAAAAGGAAAGGGGATTATTGATCAGAGATATGTCTTGGGTTGGAAGTGCCCAAACATTTATGTTTCATCATAAAGCAGCAATCAAATATGACTTAGGTGTGAAGAGAAGGCATTGCTTGGCTGACTTTGCTAAGAGTTGGCTCTGAGAAGTTGAAGAACATCTATGCAATCGAGAGTTGATGATTTGTCTCAAAATAGCCTTGTGTGACTTTGTTCTTCAGTGAATGGGGAGGAAATGCACGATAATAACCATCACCACCTCTGTATAGAAAATTAAAAGATGCAGGAGAAAACATGGAGGAACCTGCCTCCTACCATTTCTCTTCCGTCTGATTACTCCCTAGAATTATCTGAATGTTTTATGGTGAATGGAGCTGATTATCGGGGATTGCAGAACAGAACTGCGCCTGGATCCGCTGGGAAGCCTTGCCTTTACTGGAACCAGACACGAGAACATGCCTACAACACAGCCAAGTATCCCAATGGCGAGTGGGGGCTGGGCAGTCACAATTACTGCCGAAATCCGGACGGTGATGTACAGCCTTGGTGCTACATCTCAGAGAACGAAGAAGGGATCTACTGGAAGTATTGTGACATTCCAACCTGCCACAGTAAGTGTTGGACCTTGCACTGAAATTGGGGGAATCAGCCAGAGTTTAGCAAAAAAAAAAATTGGTCCCAATGATGGAGAATATTTATAGCTCAGGGTTGAAATGAGGGGTCCTTGGTACTCTCTGAGCTTGCTTGTTTCCTTGCAGATGTTTCATTACCCTGACTAGGTAACACCATCCATGCTAGTAAGGAGTTCTTGAGTGCTTGAGAAGCCTGATTTAAAGACTTTTAAGATTTATATAATCTGACAGCAAATAGCAGTCCTTACTAGCATGGATGATGTTACTAGATAGGGTAATGAAACATCTGCAAGAAAAAAGCAAGCTCAGAGAGCACCAAAGACCCCTCAAAGTTTGATCCACTCTGTAGGAAAGTTAATAATTGGTGGACCTTCTCAGAAGTTGAACATCCCTTTCTCAATTGTTTGCTGGTTCTGCTTGGAGTCTCTAACCCAGCTTTTCCCAAATTGGTGTCCTATAAAGGCCAGAATGGGTAGAAATTATAGAAGTCCCATTCTTATAGTTCTCTGACACTGTGGTCCTACTGTTCTCCTTCAAACTGACAAGCAGATTGCATTCTGATCAATCACCAGCTCAGAAGAAAGATTTGCTTGCTTTGAATTTTATTTCAAAGGAGAAGAACATTTTAATGAAATTCTTATAGATGGAGTGTTGTGATTTGCCTTTATTATGGGAGACCAAGAGTTCTGGGTGAAACTCCAGTCTTAGTCTTTGCTTCAAAATAGTCCTTTGTAGCAGGGGTGTCCCTTCTATTGTCGCTTTTCATATTTTGAAGTTTGTGCAGCCAGGGCAACTTTGAAGTCAAAGAAACAAAAAAAAGCTGTAGCACCCTTCTCAGTTTCAACAGGAATGTACTGTAAACCCAATACATCAAGAAGAGATGCATTGGAATGCAATTTTCAAGCCTCAGAAAAATACAGAAAAACATGAACAGCTTTTACAGGGGAAAACACTGCAGAGAAAGTGCAAGGCAAAAGTTGGTATTAAATCTGTTGTACCTGAAGAGCAACAATTTTGAGACAACTGCCTCTGATGCCTTTCACTCAAAACAATATGGCAGTTTTTCTCAACCTTGGCAACTTAAAGATGGGTAGACTACAACTCCCAGAATTCTCCACATCTGGCTGCATACGGTCAGTTTGTATCACAAGTAGTCATCAGTTATTGACTGCCTTGTTTAGTGACTGCTTGAATTTATGAAAAACAGCTTTGCAACCAATGTTTACATTTTCAGCCGTACAGTGTCCTATGGTTAAGTGATTGCCAATTGTGAGCTTCAAAATCAGCTTCAAACAAGCACAATTAATGGAGAATGCGAAAGTGAAACCCCAAGTCACAGTCATGTGATGTTTCACTTACTGACCATGATGATTTGTGTAATGATGGAAGCAGAAGTGACATCAAAGGTCCAGTGCAGTCACGTGGCTTTTTTTGGCTTAGTGACTGTGGTACTGAACTACAGAGTTGCAAGTCCCAACTGTGGTTGGTAAATGAAGATTACTTGTAAAGTCCTACAGTTGTGCAGTGTTGTGATACCTTCCTGTATAAACATTCAAAATTTCTATCCTCTTCCTCCATTGTTTCTTTCAGTGCCTGGCTATGTTGGCTGCTTCCTGGACTCTGGTACTCCCCCAACACTAAGTGGGAGCAGTGGCACTTCCACCAAACTCACGGTGCAAGTTTGCCTCAGTTTCTGCCGCAAGCGAGGCTATAAGGTACAGCAGCTCAGGAGGCCTTCACAGTCCATTGAAGAGGTTGCTTCAAACGGCCCTCCCAACCTGGGTTTGTCTAGATGTGTTAGAACTACATCTCCCAGAATTCCCAGATAACCGACTGGCTAGAAAATCTGGGCTGGACTAAGAATTCAGGAACTGAGTTCTTAAACAGTCCGGATACAATTAGATGACATTGGTTGAGAAAAGGGGGGCTTTTTAGATTAATATAAAATAATAAATAAAAGCCAGGGAGTGATTCCACCCAGTTCCCACTTATTCTCCTCTCCAGTCTAGGAAAAAAGCGCCAGTGAAAAGGATTTCATTCTTTCTAATCTGCCACACTGGAGTTGTGTGATGCAACACTGGGCTTGTTTTTAATTTAAACATAGAATCCTGACACTGTTTCCAATACTGTATGCTTTTAGATTTGTCTTTCCTAATCTGACTGGGTCTGCAAAGCTTGAAAAGACTGATTTAAAGACCTTTAAGATTGGTATATATATATATAAGGACAGGGGTCTTCAAACCTGACCCTTTTATGACTTGTGGACTTCAATTGCCAGAATTCCTCAGCCAGAAAGTTGAAGTCCACAAGTCATAAAAGGGTCAAGTTTGAAGACCCCTGTATAAGGATGTAGCATGGTTCTAGGAGCTAACAAATTTAGCCAGTATGGCATTGGAGACCATTAGGGGGTTCTGAATACAGAACTGATGAATTTATGTATTGATTTATTATTATTGATGAATAAAGAAATTTGGAACACAACCAAGTTTAGTGACTATTTCTCTGTCTGGGAACCAAAAAGCTGTCATTCCCTAAATAAAAATATCTGGTAGAGAAGCTCCATTTGTAATTTCAATCTCTTTTTCATTTGATCTCTTAGTGTCCCATTAAACTACAGATCCCATTAAGAACAGCTATGACCATTCTTTTTTTTATTATTATTATTAATGGGTAACCTCGTATTTCAAGAAAAACTGTTAAGGCAGCTATAGAGGTCCTGCTGGCCACTGATCCATGGTTATTAATAAAGAGATATCTATTTAATATTGACATATGGACTGTTGATTTGCCAACTTTTCTGAACTGATCTTAACTATTGGGCCTTGAGCAGTTGCTGCTTGATTTGATGGGCAATAGGGCATATCTCCATGCCATAAAAAGCTTTCCTAATTGATTTGTTTGCTGATCACAGCACCATCAGCACTTTGCAGGTGACCAGCTCTCCACCCTTCATTTATAATTCAAAGTATAACATCTAAACAGCAAATCAAATGATGACCTCAGAGTAAGGCAGAGCTAGCTTACATGAAAGGCCTGAATCTTGATTTTCTCCACTCACTCTGGGCATGCGCCTTCACTGATCTACTTTTTCCCCTTATTTGGATTGGTCTTGCACCCTTTCTAGTCTTCTCTGACAACTGAGTAGACACATGTTATCCCCCTTCTCTATTTTCATCCCATCAGCCCAATTCTTGGCACCCCGTGAAACAGAGCTCAGCCATCAAACAGCATTTGTTTTGTCGTTCCAGGCTATCAGTTTTTATTAGCGCAACAAATGCACAGTTGTTACCCATTTGTCACACTTGGTTCAGACGGCTGCCCTCATGGTTATGCTTCTGTTCTGGAGATACTGAATTTGAAGATTCGTCTATTTTTTTAATATCTGGGAAAGCATTATTCAGTCTGGTTACTTGATTATGTCACCTGTTTAAGCTTTCTCATTTGGAAATAGCAAGAATTTGGGGCTCTTGCAGGTAATTTTGGCTCTTTTCCTATAATCTTCCATATCTTTTATTTTATGGAAACATAAATCTGCTGGTATTACTCTACATAATTGCTCAATAGAAAGTAAACCATTTCTTCTGGCCTTAAAGTGGATGACTAGTTCAACAGTTTACCATGCAAATACAATCTTTATGGTCTGTAAACCATGATTTATGGTCTATATTGAGTGAACCCAACCAATTTGGCTTATTTAGTAAACCATGATTAAATCAAGCATGGCTTTCAGTCTACAAATATATCATAGGAAGACTTGAATTTCCTTCAAGACTATTGCTTGTCCTATCCTTGTTTCCTTGTAAGATTTCACGTTTCATCTTCTTACCATAGCAATGCAGTTAAAGAGATGGGTTCATCTTAAATCTTCTCTTATTTTCTTCTGTCTCTTTGGAAGTTTGCTGGAGTAGAAGCTGGTTATGCCTGTTTCTGTGGCCATGAAGGAGATATCCGGCACAGCCAGCAAGTGAGTGCTGTGGAATGTGATCAAGTCTGCTTTGGCAAGTCCAGTGAACTGTGTGGAGGAGATGGCCGGATTGGCATATACAACGGTAAGTGTGAGAATTGGATCCATATATTTGGTAAAGATGTACCTGCTACAGCTAAATGCCTATAGATGAAACTTCCTTCCTCTGCATATTACACGTTGAAGGCCATCCAGTGAAGTTGACGGGGTTTAGAAATAACTTCAATACACTTTTAGAAAGACAAAGGCAAGTTATCTTCTTATTCAAGGATTTGGAATCCAAGTCACCCTAAGTCAGGGAACTATAACCCCTGGGCTATGGCCCACTACCAGGCCTTGAGCCATTTGGAACTGGGCCGCAGAAATGGTGGGTGAGCGCGCACATATTGTTTGAGCAGCAGATGAATGTGTGCATGTGCGCTCCATTTGTTCGAGCAGCAGGGAGGCTTGCCTGCTCATGCAAATGGAGTTGTGTGTACGTGCTTGCCCACCGCTTGTGTGGAACTATCCCCTCCCCTCCACCGATCCACAGAGCGGGAAAGATTGAGGGAACTCTGCCTTCATACTGAACTACCTTAGACTAGGGGTTTTTCAGAAGTTTCATTTTGTTTATAACAGTATTTCTTAGCAGCTTGAAAATGTACAGATTTAGACTTCCAGAATTCCCCAGCCAGCATTTGGGAGTTGAAGAACTGAATCTTCAAACTGCCAAGGTTGAGAAACCCTGTTCTATGCACATACTGAGCCATGTTGACATATACAATAGGTTAAGGTCTGAGATTATCATTGCCCTTCCCTGTGTCCCCATGATACTGTGAACTCTCTGTGAGGCTTTGAAAAGTGATCCAATTAACTGCTGGTTCATTTCCTGCTCCAGAGAAAACATTTCTCCTTGTTTTACTTCCTAAATGCTGGAATTTCTTTCTTCTTCCCTTGCCACCATTCTGTAGTTGCACCATGCAAGGGCTGGACAGGATTGTTTTTTTTTTATTAAAAATTCTCGTGAGAAGGAAAATGTGAAAAGGAAACAAGGAAGATAGAAGATTGCCTTTTCTCGGTCTCTGTCATTGGTCAGTTGGAGGAAGTGCCAGTCAGCTGACAGGATGGAAGGTAAAATCCTTGGTGAATCCATCACACTGGCATAAGAGAAGGTTTAAGTTGGATACTGGCATGAAAATGCTGCTTACATTTGGAGGGGTAAATCAGTGACTATAGAGAAGAGGATAAAATTCCATCAAAATTGAGTGGGATGGAATCCTAAGAAGAGACATTCATAGATTCAGAGGCATCTGAGCAAGAGGGATAGGCAGGGTGAAAAAAAATTGACAAAAACAGTGTCACGCTATCATGATGAACTCTTTTGTGTGTCCTGTGTGACCTTGCACACACCTGCAAAAGGAGATGAGCTTGCCTTGTAGCAGGTGCAACTTTGTTTAAGATGACAGCCTCCAATCCTGCAGACTCTTCTGCGTAAAATGTGTTTTCTCTAGTGGAAACTGATGCTGCAGCGTAACAGCTTTTATACCTGGGATTAGAAAACTTCCAATGTTAACAATGCAGAGATGTGCTTGAATTCATATTTTGCCATAGAGAGTAATAAATATTTGCAAGTTTCATTTGCAAGTGCCATAACCCTTATTATACAAATAGACCATTTTAGGAACAAACTCTTGCACATTTTTTGGTATAGGAGAGAAGAATGGTATTTGCTCCCATCCTGCTAGTTTTATGTTCTCAACATCTGGAGTGCAGTTATTTATTTTAACTAGAGTTAGTTTTCAAGAACTTTGCTTTGTCTTTTTTTTATTTAAGATGCAGTTGGGCTCTTTTCCTTCCTGATTTTGACTCTGACAAAGTCTGCTCACAACTTAGTATTATCTCCATTTTAATTAGTTTTTACAACCATAACAAGCTGGGATCTATATAGGAGCTCCTTTCACGTGTGAGGCAGTGCACTGACAGTTTTCCATAATTCAATTGCAGCTTAGAGGGCACATGACAAACACAACAAGGCAGTGTTTGCTTTGTTTAGAATATGTGTGTGAGATGCACACTGAGCAATTGTGGGAGAAGTGGGAGGTGCAAAAAAAAAAGGTTGTGTGTTTTTTATGACTAATAGCTCTGTAATTGCAAACTCCAACTTGGCCTTTTAAATCTGTTTTTCTCTTTTGAATTGTTCTTTGTTCCTTTAAATGTAATAGTTTTATTTTAAAAAGGAAAGTTCTTCTAGCTGTATCTTCTTGAGGCCATATGATTAGAAGTGCTGCTATCTATCACTTCCAGAGTCCTTTGCTTATTCTGCTGTCAGTTTTATACCCTCACCCTAGTCTAGTCAATTTCATGTGTTTTGTCAGTTTTACTATTCTAACTAGACTAAGACATTTGAAATTGACTCTACTTTACCCCAAAATATCCTAAAAGTAAAATAAATAGTACTGCTTTGAAATGTCATGTGTTATATACAAATATTTTGACCAAAAAAGCAAAACAAAAACCCCAACTAGCCAGAAGCATGGGAAGAACAGCTTTAATTAAAAAATAAATAAGTAACAGGACAATTGGAGCCTTCTTTGCATGGCTCATCAAATTAAGCACCCGAAAACAATAATAAAGATAGTCTTTGATTTAAAACCACCATTGGGACCAGAATTTTTATAGCTAAGCAAGGCAGTTGTTAAGTGAGACACACTTGATTTTACGACCATGGTACCACGGTTTTTAAATTAATCCAGCTTCCCCCATTGGCTTTTTATTTCAGTTGGGAAGGTCACAAATGGCAGTTACATGACCTCAGGATAGTGCAACCATCATGAATACAGGCCAGTTGCCAAGCACCTGAATTTTGATCACATGACTGTAGAGATGCTGGATGTTGCATATGCAAGGACTGGTCATAAGTCACTTTTTTCAGGGCCATTGTAACTTTGAACGGTTGCTAAGTGAATGGTTGTAATTCAAGGACTACCTGTACCATATTTGAATGTCTGTCTCCAGAGCTGGCATATATTGGCATAAATATTGGGGGAGGAAGAATCACATATTATTTGGTCAATCCCTTTGGCTGATCATTGGGGACTGAGGAGTTGTTTACTATATAAATAGGAAAGGTAGCTTAAAATGATCCAGCTATTTCACAATCAGATTTGATTAGAATTAAATTAAATTAACTCCCCCTGGACAGTTGTCACCCATGCAACTAGACTGAGGAGGAATTAATGGCCAATTCTGAGGTGACATCCTAAAGAAGAGTAGATTTTCTTTAGCATCATCATCTCTGATCACCTCATAATCTCTGAAAGTGTTCTGATTTTCACACAGATATACCTGTGACTACATGGGGGATTAAAAAGAGGCCCAAAAGGATGAGAGTGAGTAGAACATACCCTTGTCCAGCTTCTCCACAGTCAGACAATCTAGTTGTGCCTTCTTTCCAATGGCTGCGGATATTTAGCCATGTTTTATCTTGTTCTGCCAGCCTCTGAATTCAACAAGTCAACTGCCTGGGAGAGAATGGCTCTAATTGTCAAGAGCTTTAGCTTTTGTGCACCTGGGAATCCCTGCTCCTTATGAACATTTGTTAGTTCTAGGTAGCTCTGACTGAGCATGCTCGCTAAGGAATTCTGGGAGTTGTAGTCCACCACATCTAAAAGTTGCCAAGATTGAGAAACTGTTAGAGAATTTTAATTTCTCTATTGGTGAAAAATAAATCAGAAGCCCTCACAGTTGACTGCATTTAGCTGATTCAAATAACTTTATATTTACATAAAAATATTTACAATACCATTCTTCTTTACAGCAACATAGCTTAATGAAGGCTTCTTACAGAGACAGACCAGAGACAAACCCAGAGACTGGAAATCCAGCTCCTAACTCAATACTCTTTTTGCACAGACTCAGTAGCAATTGGCTGACCACATGACTCTTCCTGTTCATGAATATTCCAACACTCCTCCCTTCATGACAGGAAGACATCAGACCTATTAATACATTTTTTAATAGTGAAAAACCTTGTGCCACTAACCTGGCCTTATACTGTATATCATTATTTGGCAATACCTTTTTCTTATATACCCACTTATAACCCACAGCTTTGGTTCCCTGTGGCAAAATCACTGATTTAAATACTTCATGGTCTCCCATGGATTTCATCTCTTTATCCATGGCCTCCTTCGACCTTTCTTGTTCAGCTTTTTGTAATGCCAACATCTCTTTGTAACTTCTTGGCTCATACCACACATTGCAAACCTTTACCTTGCTGGCAGAATACCTGTCAGGCGGAATTCCTTTATTACATCGCTCTGACCTACGTGCTATTAACTGCTCCTGTGTCTCAAGTCTTTCTGGCTTCATGTCTTGTTCAGCCTCTCCTCCCTGAACATGGACATCTTCAATCATTAGATGAATTATTGTCACTAAACAGATCACCGTCATTAAGTGAGACATACCCAGAATTTGCATTAATTCTGTCCCAATTTTGTTCTGCAAAATTAGCAGACCTTGAAATTATAATTCTTTTACTTCCATCACTAAAGCGATATCCTTTTGACCCTGGCTCATAGCCCACAAACCTGAGCTTTCTTGCCTTTTGCTGTCCTTCTGATTGCTTTTGGAATATGTACCCATTCAGTACTTCCAAAAATTCTCAAATGTGCCAGTGATGGCTTTCTCCCATATAGAATGGCATATGGAGTATTATTAATGGAGGAACTCCACAGCCTGTTAACTATATAATTAGCAGTCAATATGGCTTCTCCCCAATATGACCTGCTCATACCAGAATCCTCCAATAATGAATCTTTCATTGTTTGCAAAACACCATTCCTTCTTTCAGCTACACCGTTCTCTGCTGCTGTGTAAGGATTTTTACGTCTGTGTCTTATCCCCAACTGCCTCAACCATTGTTGGAATTTAGTTGACATAAATTCAGTACCTCTGTCAGTTTGCAACTGACACACTTGTTGTCTGTATCTTCTCTCTACAAAACTTACCCACTGTTTGAATTGTTGTAGCACCTCTGTCTTTGCTCTAAGCAAATAGCAAAATGAATACCTGCTATAATCATCAACAATTACCAGTGCATATTTT